TCAAATATAGAAATTGATCCTTGACAAACACTACCAATTTCCAAAAAAAAAATCGTCCTTGACAGCAAGACAACAGCTAAACTGCCAAAAAATAAGATGATAGTGACCATGATGGTCATAGATGGTCACTATGATAAAGGAAACATATTAAGTGAGGGATAATGAAATACCTGATATGGATCAAAATTGTCGCTTTCACTTTCAGATACATTAAGAAATGTTGCTAGACAAACTAGCTGAAAAGGAAAAGAATCTAAATGAGCTCGATGGGATATATTAAGGAATAAAACAAACAAAAGTAACGTCCAGGAAATTAAGTTTATATTCTTAGGCATTTTTTCTGGTTAAATTGGTACACGGAGGTAAAACTTAATTCATCTCTCAGCTATTTTTTCTTCATATTGTTATTGGGAAGAGCTAATTCCATTAAGTAAAAATAGTATGAATTAATGGTCATGGACTAATGGCATAATCAGTTACCTTAACTAGTGCGGTAAAAAGGTAAACAACCGCAGCTTTTATTGAAGTCCACAGCGTGTCATACTCAGACCTGCATAAAAACATCATAGTTTCAACTTCTGTTCAAATTTCCTTTACAAAAAAAGAAAACTTCTGTTAAAAATACGGTATTGGTTTATAGAGGCCTCCCTTCCATGTCATGGAATGTGTCACAAATGATAAGGTTGACTTGATTCTAAAATCATAGATTAAAGAGAAAAAAGAACATACTAGAACGACTCACTCAAGAAGGACGGACAATTATATCATACATAACAACAGTCCAATTTGACTAACTTTTGAATGCATAACAAGAAAACGATGAGGAAACATAATATTATCAAGTATCAGTTTCAGATATTGAGGTCTAAACAAGATAAAATAGGGAAGAAGATTAAACAAGCCTAGCAGCATAAGTATATTTGTAGATCTATGTTTGCTTGGACTCTCCAAAAATGTTGCCGCGCCCGTGTTGGATTCTCCAAAAATGCACTACTTTTGGAGAATCCCACACGCACCTGTCAACATTTCTAAAGAATCCGAGTAACATAGATGTGTGGGTGTGTGTGTGTGTGTGTGTATATATATATATATGCTTGACCAAACATTAATCAGATAAACCGATAGCTACAGCCACCTGCTTGAAACTATTAGAACAAAATAAAGCTGATCCACTACAATATCATTCATAACAGACTCTCCTGTGCTGAAATAGAAAAGGATTGCCTAAATATTTTGAGGAGAGACTGGAATTCTACACCTGCTGCAATATGATGGAGCATTTGGAAGGAGAGAAATAGAAGATGCTTCGATGGACAGAGGAACTAAATCAGGAAAATCAAGTCTAACTGTATTCTTTTGGTCACTTTTTGGTGTAAAATGGATTTAGTTGAAGATGCAGATACACTGTTACAAATCATAGAATCTTTAGTGTAGATAGCCAGGGTTGACTTTTTCTGATATATTTACTGTACTTTCTTAGTGCTAGATTTGTTATCAATACTACTTGCCTTTTCAAAAAAAAAATATCATTCATAACAGGCAAAATCATAGTATCGAAAAACCTTACCTAGATTATGCACTTAACAAATAAATGCATCATTTTTTGCACAAACTTTTGCTACTTACACATGATAAAAAATAGAGGTGGATCTGGATTTAAAAGTTATGGGTTCCTGACATCTAAAATTATGATAAGTGCCCCAAAGGGATTTGAACCCTCGATAAGGAGGGCAGCAAAGCATAAGTGGGTTCCAATTCTACCACTGGACCAAGAGGCTAATTTGTTAACGGGTTGCCAACACAAATTGCTTATATGTTCAATAAACTTTTCAATAAAAATACTGAATTTCTGAATCTACGTAAAAATTTACTGGGTTCCAAGGAACCCCCACCCAAAGCCCTGCATCCTACCCTGATAAAAAAAATACACTTGAAACTTCAGATATCATGATTAAACACCTAAGAATTGATAACAATGGCTCATGATTAAAGGAAAAGAATGAATTTTAAGCCATAACCAATAACAATGTTTTAATCATAACCTATAATGATAACATCTTTTTTTCTTATGACAATAAAGATAACATCTTTTGAATAATTTGACTAATACTACCAATCAAAAACTCTTCTCACTGTTTAACATTAACTCCTAGAACTAAAAGATACTCCCTCCGTTTTCAAAAAGAATGTCTTTTTTTCTCTTTTTGGCAACTCTTCAATTGTAACTCTCCACATGACATATTCAAGACCACACGATTAAAGGACATTTTGATACATTCTACGTATCAATTAGTTTAATACCACAAGATTCAAAAACCTACTTTACTTTCTTAAATTCCGCACCAAGTCCAAACCAGACAAACAAATCGAAACAGAGGAAGTACAAAAAACTCAATGCATACCCAGTAACCAGAAAATCAAATAAGAGTCAACACAGATCATTAAATTGCCAATTAACACTAAACACGAGACTAAAAATACATTAAAACTTCAGATATCATGATAAAACACTTAAGAATCAATAACAGCTGCTCACAATTAATTTTAAGTCATAACCAATAACAATGTTTAATCATAACCTATAAAAGATAACATCTTTTGAATAATTTGACTAATACTTAAACATTAACTCCTATAATTAAAAAATACTAAATTCAATGCACCAGTAAATCATATAAGAGTTCATTAAATTGCCTATAAACACAAAACATGAGACCCCAAACAAAAATCACTCAATCAAAAACATAGGAATTGAAAACAAAACCCAAATTTCATATAAAGAGATCAAAATCGATTCTTGAAAAAAATCAAATTAACTCGTAGAAGCAAAATAATACTAAATCCAGTGCATACCCAGAAGCCAGAAAACCATATAAAAGTTAATACAGGTCAATAAATTGCTTAACATGAAACCCCAAAATAAAAAACATGGGAATTGACAACAAAAAAAAGCCCAAATTGCATATAAAAAGATCCATGAAAAAACTAAGTTTTTAGCAAAAAAACGTACAAAGGAGTTGCTGAGTAATAGACAGCATGAGGTCCGAATGTAAGGATTGCACAGTTGAAGAAGTGGAAAACCGTCATCTTCTTCTTCTTCCTTCTTTGGATCAGTAGAGGAGATCTCAAGGCAAAGTTGTGCTACTTTTTTTTGTGTGTTTTTGTCTTTCAGGTGGAATTTTTTGCTTAATTTGGGCTTTTTCATTCACTTTTTTTGGGCCAATGTTTGGTTGATTTGGTTAGGTGGGCTTTTAAATTTAGATTTTGAAAGAAAAAAGGGGGAGGTTGGTAGGGG